TAAATATTTTATATAAAAATATATTAATTTAAAATATACAATACAACTATATATAGTTATAGTTTGGGGTCGGTAAACTTTTTAATGAAGATACATTAGAGAGTAATATTGTAAAATATTATTGCAATATTGCAGTTTAAAATGACTGTTTTCTAATTTAATCGTTTTTTAAATGTAGTTTTATATTATATAATTACATTTTAAATTATATATCGAAATATATCAAATTTTGAAAATTTGCTCCAAAATCAGCATAGAAAATGCGAACAGCAGTTAGCGGATTCTCTTGGGCCTTCATACAGTACAGGTTTACAACACAGAAGCTTCTGGGCAGGTTTGAAACATGAAACGTGGAAGTGCAAGTTTGAGGAAGCCACAAAGTCAAGCTCCTTTCTCACGCACTGCGTCAGTCAGACAGTTGGTTTACGGGTTTCTTCCGTTTAACGTGTGTGCTTTTGAGAAGAGTGGAAGGAAATGGCAACAGGTGTTTGGCAGGGCGTCAGAACTTTATTTAGATATCAACAGATGTCAGTGAGAGTTACGTTTACAAGATTCCATTATCAAACAGTGAAGTTATCTACATTACAAAATGCATATAATGCACACCAACCCTCTTATTTGTACCCAGTTGTGTGTATCTGGTTTGCTGCAGAATCACCGGTGAGTGGTTAATTCACACTGTCATTGTAATGCCAGATAGTCACTGTCTCATCATTAGGTTGGAGGGGGAAACACAAATGCTGACGCCCACTCGTTGGGCAGAGAGTTTCCGAGCAATGACGCCCGCTGGGGAAATGAGGAAATGGGATGGAGGAAGGAAATGAAACTAAATGTCCTCTAAAGACCCTTGACTACACCGTGGTGAAACATCAGAACCTCCAGTGGCTCAAATCTGTCTCTTTTTTCAGTGAAACAGCGAACAACAAGCTACTGTCTGAACACTGTCTCAGTTTTTGACTTTTTGCTGTAATATGACGTGATTTACAAATTGTACATGACAGATCCTGAGCTGTTTTTCAAGTATATACTGTACTTTTTTATGTAGGGCCCATTGAGAATCTCTTTGAATAATACACACATATACTGTACTTTGTAGGGATGTAACGATTCACTCAATTCACGATTCGATTCGATTCGATTCACAATTTTTTTTTTTTTTACAAAATGAGATTTAAGACAAATTATAAATTAAATGTGTCCTTTTATTATTGCTTGGACAAAATGCTGCACATTTCTCTGTGAAATGGAAATATAACTATAATAATATACTAATATAGCACTTGCATATTATTGCTCTTTTGTTGGTTTTGATTGCTTCTATTGTCCTCATTTGAAAGTCGCTTTGGATAAAAGCGTCTGCTAAAGGACACAATTTAAATATAATATAAATGTAAATAACAAAACTAAATCGAAATTTTAAAACAAGCCCCAAATCAAATACATAAGTAACACAAAACGGGTTAATCGTCACATCCCTAGTACTTTGCATAGACAGTCTGTTAAAAACTCCTTTTGGGGAGGGGTCAGAGACTGGTCACAGCAGCATATGTGTGTTTGAACATTTGAAACACCAATCAGTTTTAGTTATGTTACAGCTCCAGGGTTGTTTTTGTAATTCTCAATGTCAGACTGTGGATTTCAGACTGGGACTGGTTGCGTTGGTTTCCAGCAAACCACTGTGTTTTGATGTAGCGTACTAGACATTTGCATTTTCTGAAGTAAATATGAG